TTCTATGTCTACCATCTTGTATGTGTTCCACCATGCTAGCTTTGCTAGCTTTGTTCACTGCAGTAGAGATGTGGCTTTTTGGTTCCTGTTGATTCTGGTGATAAAATCTGATAACAGCTCTTGGCTGATGCTCTGAAATCGAGTTTTAACGGTTTGACCACAGCGATTAGCCAGAGAGGAGCACGCTGGGGCCGAAACTGGACAGCTGGAGCAGATCTGCGTCCAGAGAGGAGCTGGAGGAAACTGCTGGGCCATTAAGAGAGGTCAGAACGGTCCTTCAGTCCAGCCGTGTCCATCCGCTTCCTCTTTCTGACTGTACTGCAGTGCAGAGCAGTGAAAAATCACCCAGCGCACTGCAGTGCAGTGATGGTCTCAGCCGTGTGAGCAGTTTGCAGTTTTTTTTTTTAAATAAAATCCATTTTTCAGGAAGGATTTTTTAAATTCCCTCAATCACTGACAGTTTCTCCACAGTGCTGACCAACAGTGTAGCGATGTTGCCACAGAAAGACTGTAAAAATTAGCATATATTAAATATGCATGCAAATGTAAAGCAGTATGGCTGATACGCTCTTCACTGTCTCCAGAGCTTTCATAGAAACCACTGTGAATGATGGAAACTCAGCGTCTGGCTGCAGCCTATCAGCGTAAAGTAGGCAGGGAGGGGTGGGGTTCATGCACCTGGGAGCCTATCAGGGTAAAGCAGGCATGAGGGGTGGGGCTTCTGCATCTGAGTGCAGCCTATCAGAGCAAAATGGGCATGAAGCAGTGCGGCTTATGCATCTGGGAGCCAATTAGGGTAAAACAGGCACGAAGGGGCGTGGCTTCTGCATCTGGGAGCCTATCAGGGTAAAGCAGGCATGAGGGATGGGGCTTCTGCATCTGAGTGCAGCCTATCAGAGTAAAGTGGGCAGTGAGGGGAGGGGCTTATGTATCTGAGTGCAGACTGTCAGCCTAACATGGGTAATAAGGTGGAGGGGCTTATGCATCTGGGAGCCTATCAAAGTAAAGTATGCATTAAAGGGGCGGGGCTTATGCATCTCAGTGCATCCTGTCAGAGTAAAGTGGGCAGGGTCGGGGTGGGGTTTATGCATCTGGGTGCAGCCTGTCAGAGTAACGTGGGCAGTGAGGGGGAGGGGCTTATGCATCTGAGTGAAGCCTGTCAGAGTAATGTGGGCAGTGAGGGGGAGGGGCTTATGCATCTCTGTTGTCTGTATGTATATATATATTGTCTCTGTATAGTTTATCTCAGTTACTCTGTTTTATAGAGCACTGTTTTGCAGATCTGCTGCTGTTTTGAAATAAAATTTGTATAAATCTGAGCCAAACCAATCTGTATACCTCTCTCTCTGTCTCTCTCTCTCTCTCTGTCTCTCTCTCTCTGTCTCTCTCAATTCAATTCAATTCAAAGTAGCTTTATTGGCAGGACTGTTTTGAGTACAATGTTGCCAAAGCATATAAAATTCAACTCAAAGCGGAACATATTTTGTAGAACTAAAAAACAAATATAGAATTAATAGTAACAATGATAATGGTTATTGAAATAACAGCAACAATGTTAAAATAAATGAAGTAAATAAATAAAATAAGACAATATAATAAATGTTGTAAAGCTTGGTAAAGTAAATAAATAAATAAAATAAGACAACATATATTATATAATAAAAAATAATTACAATCTGTGTATTTAACCTATATACAGTGAAGGGTTTGGGGGGGTCAGGGAGGTGGGGGTGTGGAGTGTGTTACTGTCCCTCAGGCCGTGACAAGTTGCTACATATTTCGCAGCGAGAGACGCTGAGCTGCCCTCACCAAGGAAGATTGGTAGTTTTTCAGATTCTGTTAGAATTTCAAAATTTGAGAGACTGTTTTTTAATTTTGTTATGAAATTTTCTCGTGCAAATTTGAATTTTTCACACTGAAGGAGGAAGTGCAGCTCTGTCTCAACCTCACCGCTCTCACGGTGACCGCACAGTCTTCTCTCTCTGGGCAGCCAGGATTTTTATATCTGCCCATTTCTATGGCCAGACTGTGGTCACTGAGCCTGTACTTGGTCAGGATCTGTCTCTGCTGTGGGTCTCTGACGGTGAAGAGATACTCTGCCAGTTCCTGCTCTCTGTTTAGGGCCCGATAGTCCTGTAATTTAGACTGAGTTCTGGTTTCGCTGTCCCAATGTTCCAGATAGGTGGTTTTACTGTTTCTGATCATTTGGTTTACTTTGATTGGACTTTGGTCAGCAGTGCTGGACTGAGGCCGCTGTGTGTGAGGGGTCAGTGGGTTAGTTAGTCTCAGAGCCAGCTGACAGAGGGGACTGGGTTTAGGGCTGAGCTCTTGGGTTTTAAGTGCTCTGTCGCTCTCTCTCTCTCTCTCTCTCTGTCTCTCTCTCTCTCTCTCCGTTTGTGTGTGTTTTACTTTTTGCTGATAGGAGGAGTCTGAGTGGAGGAGTCTAAGTGAGAGGAGGGGTCTAAATGGGGAATTAGTTTCAGTGAGGAGAGGCAGGAGTCTAACTGAAGGGAGGAGTTTCAGAGGGAGGTGTCTAATGGAGGGGAGGGGTTTCAGCGAGGAGAGGGAGGAGTCTAATTGAGGGGATTAGTTTCAGAGTGGAGAGCGAGGAGTCTAACTGAAGGGAGGAGTCTAATTGAGGGGGGAGAGAGGAGTCTAATTGAGGGGAGGGGTTTCAGAGGGGAGAGGAGGAGTCTAACTGAAGGGAGGAGTTTCAGAGGGAGGGGTCTAATTGAGGGGAGGGGGTTCAGAGGGGAGAGGGAGGAGTCTAACTGAGGGAAGGGTATTGGAGGGGAGAGGGAGGAGTCAGATGTTGTTGAATTGTTGTTGTGTTGTCGCTAGCCAGAATACAGCTAAAGAGAGACCCCTGCTGGCAGACAGGGGAACTGCTGTGAAAACATATTTAAGCTCTCATACATGTTATTAAATATTGTATCTGCGCTGGCTGAGCAGAGACCCCTGCTGGCAGACAGAGGAACTGCTGCCTCTGACTGAGACACTACTAGTGTCAAAACTGAGTTATTCTCACTCCGATAGCAGGACGGGACAATTCACAGAGCTGAGAGGTGGACGCTGGGGTGTGCTTGTGTGAGCGGTTGTGTGTGTTTAAGAATCTGCTGAATCTGCTTGTGCAGCACTTTCTGCATGTAAACAGTGTTATTAATATCTGCGCTGTGTCTCACGTCTCTCTTTCCACACTGGGAATAGACCCTCTGAGTTGACACACACACCCAGAGAGGATCACCTTACCCCCCACACACTCCTCACACACTCCTGAAGGAGCAGTTACTCAGAGAAAGTAATCTATTAGAAATGACTGATTACTCCTCTCAGGCTGTAACAAGGTTTTACTGTGAAAACTGATCTGATTACTCCGTACTTTACTTCTGAGTTACTCTCTAACCAACTGCACAGTCCTTCCTGTACCTATTCCTACACTGTAAACATTTATAGTCATCTTATTATCCTCACTTTCCAATAAGACATGCCCAGATTTGCTGGTAAAAAAATTCTGAACGGCTAATGCTGTTTAGAAACCAGTACAAAAACAGCTGAATTTCTAAAGCTGCACTGTGTAAGATTTGGGGATTTGGAGCCCTCTCTGGTGGAAGTGTGTAACTGAATGCAGAACATTCTGTAGCGTGGGTTGTGCTCCTTCCCCGAGGGGATGAATCTGATGATTGAAAGAGAATTCAAAGAGAACTCAGTCTAAACTTGGTGAAGGAGCGTCTTCTGTGGATGTGAGTGAATTATCTACTACTGTCATCACATCTTCATCAGTGTGATGTTGATTTTGAGATCATTTGAGGCCGAAACATCGAGCCGGACCGTCTTTTTGAGTCTGTGTGTGACGTTAATACGTAAAGACGTACGACGTGGCGTGAAAAACTCAACGCCTCTGAATTTTAGATGATTATTTCAGGCTTTACTGGGTGACTCGCAGCAGCAGCACCATATTTTAGTCTGTTTACATTCTCCTCACTCAGTAACGACACTTCTTTGAGTTTAAACAGCAAATCTTTCGGAGAAATAAGCAGCTTTAACTTTGAGGTACATTAATGTAACGTTGAAAGGTTACAGTAGCAGCAACAACACTTGATATATTAAAAACGGCAACTTTATAGGAGAAGGGCAAATTTTCTTGAAGCTGCACTATGTAAGATTTGGGGATTTGGAGACCTCTCTGCTGGAAATGTGTAACTGCACACAACGTAGAATTATATACTTCTTCAGTATGATGTTGATTCTGAGAGCATTTGAGGCCTAAACATCGAGCCGGACCTTCTTTTTGAGCCTGTCGTGTGATGTTAATATGTAAAGACGTACGACGTGGCGTGAAAAACTCGACACCTCTGACTTTAAAACGATTATTTCAGGCTTTCCAGGGCGACTCGCAGCAGCGACGCGATGTGGTCCAAATATTTCCTGAATCTGTAGAGTCGTCCTTTCCATTCCATCTCATCACGAGATCATACGACACTCACATCCGGAGTTATGAGCCTATGAAGAGGGGCTGAGATACACGTCATCTGCCTCTCACCGTGTGGAACTGGTGGATTCGTGTGTCCGTCTACATTCTGTGTGAAACTGACCAATGGACACTCAGGAAATCACTAAGGACTGACCATCACGCTGGAAACCCTTCATTCTTCGTTCAGTCCACATCAGAGACTCATGTGAAACGGCGCTCAGAGAGTTTACAGCTGCTGAAGCTGCTGCAGTGGTTTTGGAAAGTAGTGATGAAGATAACGGAGCATTTTGATATGAAATGTATGAGGATCATGTTCTATGAAGAGCCTTTAAAGGAGAGTTTAAGAAGATTTGATCCAGAAAGCAACTTACAACGTGCAACCTGCTGTGTGGACGTTTCACCGTGTAAAGCCAGCCTTGTTTTGCACTGCAGCTGAGGGTCTCTGAACTGACACAGAAAGTCAGGGCGTGTCCATGTGTATGTGGTTTTAGGTGACCACTTAATCCTGTCAAATACCCCCCAGTGGAACGACACACGCACAGATCCAATCACTCAAACCCCCCAAAGTCAGCTGTGTGATTGGATCTGTGTGTGTGTGTGTGTGTGCGCGCTGATAGTCTTAATGTGGTAACAGCATAGAGAGCAATGCAGACCACCATAGGTCTATATACAGTAGTAGAGACCACCGCAGTACAGAGAGCCAAGACTTACAGGCCAGCAGGGGACTTTTAAAACACACACACACACACAATGACGCGGTACCTGAGCGCCTTCCGCCGCCTGCTGTCTCGCCGCAACAAGGCCGAGGACGAAGGCGAAGAGGAGGGAGAGGTGAAGAGTGACGCTGCTGAACCCGGTCAGACTCACTCTGGGATTGTGTGTGTGTGGCTGTGTGTGGCTGTGTGTGGTGCTGGCTAAAGCAGAGCCGGCTGGGCTGAAACCTGTAGCTGCTGTTAGCCCAGCTGTGCGTGTTTGTGTGTTCCTGGGTTTGAAAAGCTTTAGATTATTTTTTACTCCTTGCATTTGTCACTTTTTCACAGTTTAAAGGTTGTGCAAAAGCCAGACTGGCACAAATATTTATTAGAAGAGTGTTTGTGTAAGTCTCCGTTCTGATTTCTGAGGCTGTTGAACTGTTTGATGTTGTTACGCTGTTCAGATGCTATTAATCTTTAGCTTATTATTCAGTAACTACAGCGACTTCAATGCAAACTAATGGAGCTTTTCTTAGGTTATAGAAGTGTGTAATAAAACTTGGACCCATAGCTTGGAAAGGGGTTAATCTGACGATCCTGTTACGTCGTCAGACATCAGTACGCTTTTACATTGTGATTATATTGCCATTATGTTGTAATTCAGTTCCGCTGTCCGATTCCATTATTCTGTCTGATGCCATCATACTATCTGATACCATCACGCTGTCTGATGCCATTACGTTTAAGGCCATTGCGCTGTTTAAGACGTTATTTTGTCTGATGCCGTTACGTGTCTGATCCCCTTACGTTGCCTGATGCCGTTAAGCTGTCTGATGCTGTCCAGTGCCTAATGGCATTACACTGTCTGATGCCGTTATGTCGTTTGATGCCGTTACACTATCTAATGCCATTACGCTGTCTGATGCCGTTCAATGTCTTATGCCATTATGCTGTCTGATGACATCATACTGTCTGATGCTGTTATACGTTGCCTGAAGTTTTACGCTGTCGGATGTCATTATGCTGTTTAAGGACATGACACTATCTGATGCCATTACATTTTCTGATGTTATACTGTCTCATGCCGTTACACTGCCTGATAACATTTTACTGTTGTAATGCGGTTACGCTCTCTGATGCCTGTATGCTGTTTAAGGACATTACATTGTCTGATGTTGTTACGCTGTCTGATGCTGTCACGCTGTCTGATGCTGTTACACTGTCTGTTGCCATTGCACTGACTGGTGCCTTTACACTGCCTGATAATGTACCCCTGCCTGATGCCATTATGCTGCCTGATGCTGTTACACTGTCTGATGCCATTACGAAGTCAAAGGCCATTACATTGTCTGATGCCATTACACTGTCTGATGACATTACACTATCCAATGCCGTTACTTTGTTTGATGCTGTTATGCTGTCTGATGCCATTGTGCTATCAAAGGCCGTTACACTGTCTAAGGCATTATGCTTTTTAATGCCGTTACGCTGTCTGATGCCGTTATCCTGTCTGACACCATTATGCCGTCTGATGCCGTTTTGCTGTCTGATGGCATTTTAATGTTAGTCGTTACACTGTTTGATGCTGCTACGAAGTCTGATGCTATTACATTGTTCTGATGCTGTTATACTTTTCAGATGCCGTTACTCTGTTTTGATTCTGTCACGCTGTTCTGATACATTTAAACTGTCTGATGCCGTTGTGCTATTCTGTTGGTGTAAAACAGCATTACAGAGTTCTGATGCTTTTACAGGTTTAATTGTACGGTTCTGATGCCATTTTTCTTTCTGATGCCATTAGGCTGTTCTAATGCTGTTACATTGTCAAACACCGTGTTTTCTGATGCCATCACACCCTCTGATGCCGATCCCTTCCTGAGGCCGTTACATGATCTGATGCAAAGAACGGCTCATCTAAGAGTGGATCATTGTTTATCTTTATAAAGAATGTTTTTAATCACTAAGTAAGCGCGGTTTGATCTGACTGATCAAGATCACTGTCAGCAGCTAAGCTACGTTTACCAGTTAGCTAATCGATCTTAACTGCGCTGTAACGTCATTTAGGTTAAATATCATTACATTCTTAATATCGGTACATTCTTAAAAAAAGGCGGTTCTCCAATGGTTCTTCAGTAAACCATGAACACTCATTAAGGTTCACATCAAGCTTGACATTGTAACAATAGAAGAACTCTTTCTGGTGCTACATAGAACCCTTTTCAAAAAGATTCTGTATAGAACCATATACAGTATATTCTCCATTCCAGTCTGAAGAACCATTTTACCATGCAGAGAACCCTTTAAACAAATGGTTCTTTGAATGTTCATGGTTCTATATAGACCCACTGAGCCTCATTCTCCAATATATTCTAAGTGTGTTCTTAAATGTGTTCTTGAGAAAGGTTCTAAGATAAAGTCTACGTCAGATTCATGACGCGTTCTTAAAGCGCAGAACTGTTCTCACCTTCGTGCTCTTGAGTGTGTGCAGATTGTGTTCTTACCTAAGAACGAATCCCACATAAGAGAACATTGGTGAGTCAGAACCTTCGTGAAATTTATTCCTAAGGACGGACGGTGAATGAGGCCCGGTGTCTTTACTGAAGAACCCTTGAGGAACCGTGTTTTTAGGAGTGTAGACGTTAGAGACGGATGTGACTGAGCGGCGCGTCGGTCACTGTCCTGTCAGTGGTCAGTTACTGTAGTGCAATAGACTGTCCTGAGCTCCCACAGTGAGCTGCGGTGTTTAATCATTAGACTGTAACCTTCAGAGGAGACGATACAGACGAGATGGACGCTGATGTGGGCAGTAATAGAGACTCAACACTGTATAAAAATACACTAATAAATACATCATTACTGTCCTCCTCTTACTCACACCATTCTCCCTCTCGCACTCTCTCTCTATATCTCTCTCTCACTCTCTCTCTATATCTCTCTCTCACTCTCTCTCTCTCTCTCCTCCCTCTTACTCACACCATTCTCCCTCTCTCGCTCTCTCTCTATCTCTCTCTCTCACTCTCTCTCTCCTCCCTCTTACTCACACCATTCTCCCTCTCTCGCTCTCTCTCTATCTCTCTCTCTCACTCTCTCTCTATATCTCTCTCTCACTCTCTCTCTCTCTCCTCCCTCTTACTCACACCATTCTCCCTCTCTCGCTCTCTCTCTATCTCTCTCTCTCACTCTCTCTCTATATCTCTCTCTCACTCTCTCTCTCTCCTCCCTCTTACTCACACCATTCTCCCTCTCCTCCCTCTCTCTCTATATCTCTCTCTCACTCTCTCTCCATCTCTCTCTCTCACTTACACTCTCTCTCATCCCTCTCTTTCTGTTTCCCTCACTCACTCTCTCTCCCCCCTCTTACTCACACCACTCTCCCTCTCCTTGCTCTCTCTATATCTCTCTCTCACTCTCTCTCTACCTCACACACACTCTCTTCTCCCTCTCTCTCTATATCTCTCTCACTCTCTCTCTATCTCTCTCACTTACACTCTCTCTCCTCCCTCTCTCTCTATATCTCCCTCTCTCCCTCTCTCTCTCCTCCCTCTTACTCACACCATTCTCCCTCTCTCTGTTCCCTCTCTCACTCTCTCCCTCTTTCCTCCTGCTCTCTATATATCTCTCTCTCTCACTCTCCCTCCCTTTCCTCCCTCTTACTCACACCATTCTCCCTCTCTCGCTCTCTCTATATCTCTCTCTCTCACTCTCTCTCTTTCCTCCCTGTTACTCACACCATTCTCCCTCTTCTCCCTCTCTCTCTATAGCTCTCTCTCACTCTCTCTCTATCTCTCTCTCACTTACACTCTCCTCCCTCTCTCTCTATGTTTCCCTCACTCACTCTCTCTCTCCTCCCTCTTACTCACACCATTCTCCCTCTCTTGCTCTCTCTCTCTATATCTCCCTCTCTTGCTCTCTCTCCTCCCTCTTACTCACACTATTCTCCCTCTCCTCCCTCTCTCTACATCTCTCTCTCACACTCTCTCTCTATCTCTCTCTCCCACTTACACTCTCTCTATCTCTCTATCTCACTTACACTCTCTCTCCTCCCTCTCTCTATATATCTCTCTCTCCCTCTCTCTTCCCTCCCTCTTACTCACACCATTCTCCCTCTCCTCCCTCTCTCTCTATATCTCTCTCTCTCACTCTCTCTCTATCTCTCTCTCACTTACACTCTCTCTCTATCTCTCTCTCTCACTTACATTCTCTCTCCTCCCTCTCTCACTATATCTCTCTCTCACTCTTTCTCTCTTTCCTCCCTCTTTCTTACACCATTCTCCCTCTCTCCCTATATCTCTTTCTCTCACTCTCTCTATCTCCTCCCTCTTACTCACACCATTCTCCCTCTCCTCCCTCTCTCTATATCTCTCTCTCACTCTCTCTCTATCTCTGTCTCACTTACACACTCACTCCTCCCTCTCTCTCTATCTCTCTCTCTCTCACTCTCTCTCTATATCTCCCTCTCTCCCTCTGCCTCTCCTCCCTCTCTCTATATATCTCTACCTCACACACACTCTCTCTTCTCCCTCTTACACCATTCTCCCTCTCCTCCCTCTCTCTCTCTCCCTCTCTCCTCCCTCTCTCTCTCCCTCTATCCTTACTCTCTCTCCTCTCTCTTTTACTCACACCATTCTCCCTTTCCTCCCTCTCTCTATATCTTTCTCTCTCTCACTCTATCTCTTTCCTCCCTCTTACTCACACCATTCTCCCTCTCTCCCTCTCCTCCCTTTCTCTCTCTCCTTCTCTCCCTCTCCTCCCTCACTCTCTCTCTATCTTTCTCTCTCACACACTCTGCCTTCTCCCTCTCTCTCTCCTCCCTCTTACTCACACCATTCTCTCTCTTTTTCTCTCTCTAATGACTGAGACACTGTTTTATGATAGTTTAGAGAACTTAAACTCCATTCATGGTGGAGGGATACATGCAGGGCGCTGTGAGGCAAAATAGTCCCCAAAGAAAACTTATTATTTCAGATTTTCCACTATTTTCCATCATCAACACTCCATATAAACTCAGAAGACTCGTGTAGGTTCACTGGTGGTTCTGGATAGTAAATAAAATGTCTATATTTGTGTTTCAACCAGTGACCGTCTCCTCCTCCTTTATAATGTCTCCCGAGAACAGATCTAGTAGTGCCTGTGCTGCCCCCTGCTGGAACTGATTCAGACTGCA